TTAATTATGCACATGATTTTTATAATTTTGTAAGTTGTATGTTTTTCTTCGTCCTTTCCTCTCTCTCTCTCTCTCTCTGTGTGTGTGTGTGTGTGTACATATATATATATGTACATCTACGTACGTCTATACGCAGCCTGTGGCGGACGGGGCCAGCAGCATGAACTAAACGGCGTGCCGTGTGAGGAGGGAGATGTGAGAGGGGCGTTGTGACTTCTCTCACGATATTCACCGTGGCCGCCACTGCCCGGGCAGCGTGTGTGTGTTATTCTTTCTTGCCCCTCTTTTTTGTTTGACTGTTGTCTAGCGGGTTTCTCCCTCTCCCCCTTCCTCCCCAACGGGTCGATGGCAAAGAAAAGAGAGACAAAAGAGGTGGGTGGGCGTGTCGTACATGCATGTTTTGTCTGCAACCTTTCTTTTTCTCTCTCCCACTGGGTGTGCATGGGTGGGAGTAGCTTCGGCCGAGACCGGAATACTCGTGGAGGGCAATAAGCCACAGGGAAGGGGGCGATGCAGAGGGAGGCCGAGGGGCTGCTGCGCCCCGGCGGTGCAGCGCAAGCGGGCTACGCCAGCAACGGGCTGCGGCACGATAGCCTCAGTCCGACGCCGAACGAACGCGTCGCCATTGAAAATGTTCTCAACACCACCGAAGAGCGGCGGCGGCGTGAGGCCAAAGTTTTGTACGGTGCCCTCATCTTCTGCTTTGTGTTCATGGTGCTGGAATTTGGCTCGGGCGTCCTTGCCCACTCCTTGGCTCTCCTGACGGATGCCGCCCACCTGATGATCGATGTGGGGGCGTACGGGCTGAGCATCATGAGCCTCAAGGCGGCATCCAAGGCGTCCTGCGGGAAGTACAACTACGGCTGGCACCGCGTGGAGGTGATCGGGACACTTGTCTCCGTTTTCTCCATCTGGGCGCTGTTGTTTGTGCGGAGCGTGACCCGCGACCCCATTGTGGATGCCGGCCTGCGCATACGTTAGGGCCTTCTGAGACTTAACTACAATAATTCTTTTTCCTCTCACTCCGCGTGCCGGGCTTTTTGGGTGTCCGGCGTTGTTTCGCCTTCCTGGTGGGACAGATGTGTGGAGAGGAGCATTGCCCACGCTGCTGAACTACACGTCCTGGTTTCAACCGCTGCAGCGTTCTGGCACCTTCGCTGAGGAGATGGGGCGTTGCTGCGGAACACCACTGTGACTGTGTACAGTGTTAATTGGCGGGCAAATGTGACCCGTTTTCCTCATGCCAGTTTGCTGAAGGAAGTTCTGGATCCCCGATGGCTGTCCAGTCCGCTGAGGAAGGCGCTCGTGGGGTGAGCGTCTTTTTTAAATTGTTCTTTGCTGGAGGAGTTGCCTGGCGATGCAAGTTCCTGTTAAGCATCGTTGATTGCGTTTT